TGGTTTAATTTAAGTAATACGGTTCAATCAATTATATGACTTATATTAATTGTAACATTCTAGAAAGAGTTCAAATTTAAATGACAACTTATATCAGTAGATAAAAAAAAATGACTCTATTTTAATAGAGTAGATATATATATATAAATAAATGTTATTGTCTAACCTTGAGCTTAGAGTTATCGATGGCAGGCACGTCTTTAGAAGACATAGCGTTGTGATCGAGATTGACGGCTGAGAGAGCGGCGACGACTTCAGCAGCGGTCTGGATGCAGCGGAGGAAAGGAGAAACAATGACACGGTGAATCGGAAACCCAACTTGAGATCGGATTCTTTGACCGGTTTGAAAGGCTCGAACCTTACCGTCGTGAACGAGCGGAGGATCCCACGGTCTCTCAGCGGTTGAAACCCAAAGTGGTTCGCAACGGTCGGCTCGATCACCGTGACGCATCACTATAACATTTTGTGTGCCATTCATGTTTGATTTAGCAAACTCCATTGCTCCTTTTTTATGTGGTCTTTGGCAGTAGCAATGGGATGTATATATACATGCAACGATCTTTTGCTTTGTTTTTGGTGTAATAAAGTTTATTCCACAATAGGACATTGCTGGGAAATTCATCATTACATAATAACTTATTGTTTTTACATGACTAATTGAAGTGACTACGAAGTTTACTTTAATATAAGAAAGTACCAAGCATGAACCAATTAAAACGGTATTCGAATTATCAGGTTCCATTGTTGGTCATGGTGTGACCTTTGAAGTACGTTAGACGTTGATCATTGGATTATATAGAATTTTGTTTGCAAGACTCATTAAAATTAGAAATTTTTACTCTCTAGAACACTTTTTGTCTTTCAAATTTCATATTAAGACACTTGTTGCCGGTGACACACTTGTTCCTTATACAATGTCCTATATACCCTTTAACTAAATACACTCTCTCCTAAGTCTAACTCCTCTCACTTTCTCAACGATAAAACAATCATTTTCAGTTTTCTAAACATACATTTATTCTCTCTCCTTCTTTATTTGAAAATTCAGATTCACTTTCAACATTTCTCTCTTAACCTTTAACTAGTTTTTGACCCGCGCGTCCGCGCGTAGTATGTTTCTGTAAAAATATATATTTATATTAGTTGTAAAAAGCATTCATATTTATGTTCATAGGTTATTGAGTTATGATATTGGTGTATCTTGTTCATTTTGTTTAGCGTTTTTTTTTAGGGTTGTTCAATATGGTAGTACTGAACCGTACCGAACCAAACCGAACCGAAATAGACAATATGGTTTGCATTTGGTATATACCATATAAACCGAATGGATATGATTTTATAAAAACCGTAGGATTTGGATATGGTTAGGTTTATAACCGATTAAACCGAATAAACCGAACAAAACCGATCAAAGAAAAAATATATAAATATATACATTATATAATCATTTATTTTCTTAGAATAGACTTTTTTTTTACTTTTTATTCCTTGTGAAGATATATCTGAATAATTTTATTTTATTTTCTTCAACTATTATCTAAATTTGATTTTATTTTGCATGTTGTAAGAAATTATGAAATTAGATTGTACCATGTAATTTATTTGGAAGAACAAATAGAAAATAAGAAAAGCTGTACAAAACTGAATCGTTGGTCGTTTTGTTTGTTGTTAATTTCACATTTTTATATTTATGAACACCTAGAATTATTTTAATAAATGATAGTTTTGACAATATGTTTTTTTTTAAATTCATATAATATGAAACCAAATCAAATAATAATATTATTTGGTATAAAACCGAATAAACCGAAAACCGGTAGTATAAATACCGAACCAAACCAAATTAAATATGGTTCCAATATGGTAGCTAATTTTTATAAACTGAATAACCGAAAACCGAAAAAAACCGAACCGAAACCGGACCGAATACCAGATTGAACATGCCTAGTTTTTTTTCTAACTATCAAGTTGTAATTTTTTGATAGATATTTTTTTTTACTTGGTAAACTAAATAATTAAGTGTAAAATATTAGAATATCTTGTTAAGATTGTTTGTATTTTATTAAATTATACTATAAATTTTGTGATTGTAATTATAATTTAAAATTATATTTTATAGTTATTTTTAAAAATAAATTATTTAGAAAGCAAAATAAAAGACAAAAAAATAGAGCTTTAGCAATTTTATTAACAAAATCCATTTTTAAAATTGAATTCAGCTGTTTGGTTTTGGGCAATTTTGATTTAAAATTATTGGACCTTAAACCTATATTGAAGCTCATATAAGAGCAAAACTACATTGTTTTAATTATAGTGGCATTCTATTGTAATTTTTGAGGAAAACTAAGGGTTATTTCTATTTTGTACTTCCCCTTTAATAGTTTAGATATATATTTTGTCTATATTTTCTTGTACAAATATTCAAAGCAAATAATTTTACTATTATAAATCATAGTTTTGTATTTTCTACGTTTTGACATCCATATCGATATATATATATATATATATATATATGTATATATATTTTATATTTATAAAAAAAAGTTGTATAGATATAGAAAATGTGGATAGAAAATTTCTGATCTTACAACATGGATATTGAAGAACAAGAGAATTGTGGAAGTGGATAGAGAAATTGTTATATATTCTAAGTGAACAAAGATCCCTACCATAAATAAATTTAATTTTAGTAATTCTTCGGTTACCAAATTGTAGAAAAGCCAAGTCTCTAAGTTTTGGAGTTTGAATATATCCATGTTAATTGACTAATAGTTTGTTATTGATCTTAAAAACTTTGGTTTCTATTTGCACTGTTTAACGAAAGAAACAAAAAGAATGACACAATAAGTCCAATTAGAACATAAATCACATAAACAAAAATTCATGTCCACATTTCTAATATCCACATTTTTATCATCCATGTCCACATATTTATTTGTATAGGTTATATATAAAAAATAAACTAGAAAATATAGAGAAAAAAATAAAATATCACAAAATTATATCAAAGTGGATATCACAATATAGAAAAAAAATTATTATAGTAAAAATTGTGATTTATATATATATATATAATATATCATAAAAAGACAAAACATAAAATTTGAAAAACATACTTTTGTATATAACACATATCCAATAAATTAATATTTGAAAAATTGGCTAAATATTAAAATAGAAAGTATATATATATGGATATCAAAATAATAAGAAGAAAAAATAGGTTTTTATATGGTTATTATAAATTTTATTTACATATTATAAATTGAAATAATAATAAATTAAACATGGTGGGATAAATAAAGTACAAGTAACTATATTTTTTTATTTATAGACATTGTTCAGTTTGGTATCCAAAAACTAGACAAAATAAAGAGAATAAATGGTTCCCAGCTAATTGTTTGATGTCTCTCTTCTTCCAATGAAGGTCATTTCCGTCCGAATTCAGTTTGACTTTGAGAAAAAGTGCCCCTACAGCAGTATGTGTCTTATAATGTTAAAAAAGTGAAAAATGTGTCCTAAATAGAAATGCACTCTTAAAATTACTACAAAGTTTACATCTATACAATCTTTTTTTTTGTGCAACACATCTATATATAATCAACCAAACTTCTAGTTCAGGTGGTAAAGGACTCACAGCTGTGAGTTCCGCCACTTGGGTTCGAAACCCGGTCACTGGGGATTTATATGCGGACCTTCCAACGCATATGGTGACGTCCTAACAGCGTCCTTGCTCGATTTGATCTCTAGTCTGGACCACTTCGGTGGGGTCATGATACTCGGTAAGCAAAAAAAATATATATATATATATAATCCAACTTTATTAGAAACCACCAAGAAGGAACCAATTAAATAAATAAACCGTTTACTGAACTGCATTCTCCATTTTTGGTCAACTAGTACATCTCTTTTTATTTATATTTTCTTTGTTTTTATGTTTTCAAGATCTTATTATCACATCTTTGTCAAGAAATGTTAAACATACAAAAATGTGAACTTTTTAAATTACTCAGTGGTATTTATTCTGATGTGATGAGCATTCACACTTTTTTTGAAAAACTGACATAAACTAAAATAATGTTTGAATCAGATCAAACAACCAAACTGGGTTTAATCTAGTTCATCCGTCCAGCTGCCTAGACATGAAAACATATGAAATGACGCAATTTGATTTTTAGATATGCCTCCAAAAATATTAGGCGATTGATCATGAGTACATGATTCCATCTTCACCATGCATGACTGGTAACCACTTCAAACTCTTCAGCTACACTCGAGAATACTTGCCTTCTTAGTTCAATACAAGCACAGAAATCTAACCTTTGTGGTGGGTCTTTAAAGAAGGTTGAATATGTAGCGTTGACTCCTCCTCCATTTCTATTTAAAGACGATAAAACCCAAGAAAAACAAAACAAGACCATATATTGTTACCTTTTTTTTTAATAAACCATATATTGTTACTTACTGTGAGTGACTAACAACAAATTCTCACAAGGATACTTATCCGTAAGAGGCTTCACCAAATTAATTAACAACTCGATTGTTGCAGTTTTCCAAAGTCTCTTCCCATTGTGGCATCTGAATGCAGAACATATCAAATTGCATTCTAAAGTTACTTTTTCAAATGATCATTGACGGGTTAGAATTCGGGAGAAAAGAAAACTAATTATATATGGATCATAATCCGTAAAAAGTATTCGAAAATAATATTGTATTTCAAAAAAAAATCAAATATTAGGATTATATAACATTAAGATCATTCTTGTTGAATCTGAAGTCGGCTTATATAAACAAGATAGCACGAGTTTTAAATATTAGCAGGCGTTTTCTATATTGTATTGTATCCAACAATACTAGAAAAAACTTGAACAGTTGTATTTATTGTACATATATTTATTTGGATTGGATCCGAATCTAAAATATTTTTACCAACCGTTACAGAGAGAGTTCTAAATATCACCTCTTTGTAAACCGGATCCACATCATGGTCAACAGTTCCATCAGGAAACATATATAGCTTCAAGGTCAGATATCATGAAATCGAATATCCCATCCTTGGGAGCAACTTCCAACTTGATAGCTATTGTGTTCAGCATCTCATTCAACCTTAATTCAATAGAAACCTGAGGCACAAAGTATATAAGCACTTTAACTTGCCGCATATTTACATGGAAACAGTTTGCATGCATAACCGGGTTCTAGGTACAACTTAGATGAAATATTCGCTTTAGTCTCAAAAAGTAAAAAGCTAGCACAAAAAGATCGCATAGTTCTCAAATTGTAGAATAAATCGTTAAGACTAAACTAAAATATTTATGACTTCTTAAATCTCGACCATGCTTGCATGAGGATTAAATTATTCTTCCTAAGAATAATTCACTGACCTTGAGCTTAGGTGTATCCGCGGTGGAGAGGGCTGCGATTACTTCGGAAGAGGTTTGGATGCAGCGAAGGAAAGAGGAGACGAAAGATACTGTAAATAGGAAAGTGAACTGAGACTGAATCATCTGACCTGTTTTAGGTCCGGTCCACAAGTTTTATAGGCAAGCAAAAAAAAATTTCTGGCCACTATAATTAAAAGAAAAATAAAAATAATTTGTGGATAGATTGAACCGTGGTCACTTGGAAAAAAATGAAGATTTTAGTCAACTAATCTGTAGAAACATTTATTGAAAGAAAACCGATAATTTATTTAACGTAAATACGGCCGGAAGCTAATGCTTCTAAAATTTCCTATCAGGACCGCTATTGCCTGTTTGAAAGGCCCCAGACCATGCTGTCACGAAGAAGCGGCGGATCCCAAGGTCGAGCAGCAGTGGACACCCAAAGTGGCTCGAACTTATCAATGCGATGGCCATGGCGCATCATGAAAACATGTTGGTGGCCTTGGACGTTAGATTTGTCAGACTCCATTCTATTGTTTCTTGCAGCTTCCTGGCATGATGCAAGCAGTATGTATAAAGAAAAGACGGCTCTATTTTTTTCATGACGAGAAATTGTTGTTTTTTAAATTGTTACTTCATCGTAGCTACAACGTGTTATTGATACTTTTTATAGAGGAAAATATGTTATTGATTCTTTGCTCAAATCTCAGTGGATAATTAGATATTATTAGTTCTCAAGTCTTCCTTCACTTTTTCTAGTCAACTTTGGGATTTTATTCCGGCGACGAATAAGGCCAATGTACTTTATTTTTTTGTAGTTGTTTATTTATTTTATACATCATCATCAAGCACACATACCAAATAGACAAATACTAACCAGACAAACACAAATAGAAATGAAAAATTATACTGTATATGGAAGTAAGGAACCCAACAAACATTAGTAGGCTTTATGCTGAGAACATCATTATTGGTGTATCTTAGACAAAGTCCTAAGCGATATTGATTTTAAAAATAAATGAAAAAGGGTAAAATTACTAAGGACCAAAGTAAAATATCTTTAATTAAGAAATTTCGGTAATGGTCCTTAAGGGCACATGTCACTCTCTCATCTTCTTCTTCTTCTTTTCCTTCTCCTTCTTTCTTCTTCTATGAATATTTCTCTCCTGCAAGCGAATAACATTTCGTAATGAAAACAATAATCAAGAATGTCCTACTAGAAACTTCTTGAAACAACCCAAGGAACAGTAAGGAACAAGACAAGAAGGACACTTGTACTTGGATACAACTTTCTCGCAGATTTCGCATGTCGAAGTAGTTCGAGGACACATCTCTCTCTACTTTCTCAGAAAGCGACGCGATTCAGGATGGTTTAGAGAAAACCTCTCCTCGTTCTCTTCGTTCTTCGCTTAAGATACAACACACAAAAGTTCCACCAATAATCTAGAAATTTAGGAAAGTTCTTAGCTTTGATTCTAAACTTAAAATATTACTAAAATATGCTAAGGACACATTAAGAAATCTCATTGATAATGTTGCCCTAAAGTACTTGCAACAGCTGTGACTTAAGAACCGGTCTTTGTTTATTGGAAAATATCCAGAGTTAAATAGTTTAAATCCTTCTAAGTAGGAAAAGTTTAAAGTATTTTAATTATGTAGTAAACTAGTAAAGTAAATTATTTAGAACATTTTCTTGCTAAATTATTTCTGATCTATAAATTACACATTAGAACATCTGTCAGAGTTTATAAGTTGCACTCTATGGATATAGATAACTTATAGCTTTTTTAAATTAAGAAAATATAAAAGTAATTAAATATTTTATTGCTAAGTTTTTCCTACAAATTACTCATTTAGTGTAAGAGTTTATTAGTTGGAATCTTTAGATCTAAGTTGCTTTGATCAATCACTCAACGTAATAGACCTTTACACACTGTTTTTTTTTATATATAAATGAAGCTAAGTAGTGATTCGAAACGATCAAGAAGTTAATATATTCTCCTTGATAAGTCACGTATTCTTTCTCTTTAGAAAAGAAAAAAAGAGGCACGTCTTCTTCCACTACCTCCAAAAATTGTGAAGTTTAATGAAACCAAATGCAAAGACTTCGAAAGAATCGTATTTTAAATGCCCAGCAAACTCTCTAACATCGTGGGGGCGACGAAGATTGCACGTCTAAGAAAGAGCTTTTGCGTTTGGGGCCGCTGCTAAGTTCTAGTAACCCTCAAAGATGAAGGAGACTTAACGTTTATGTTGCTCCCATAAACAAAAAAAAAAAGCTAGCTATTCATATGCTTAATTACCTCCTTAATTTCATTTCCATGTTTTGTCGTGAAGGACATTTTTAAGCATATGCAAATAGAGCAGTCGGATAAAATCCTAGTTTAAAAGAAATTCTTTTGAAAACAAATATCCATTCAGATTTTATAAATTTCAAAAAAATGTTACATATATAAATAGCTGTTAACTTTTAAAATTACATCATTATTTCTATAAATATAATAGGGTATAGATATAATTTGATATGCACTGCTCGTGGTTGTGTTTTCTACTCTGCTTCTAAGACTCTTCACTAAAGTAGAACAACATGTTAATTTATATCTTAGGATGATATAATTTATTGATTAAAAATGAAACAAAGATTACATGAATGGAAAGTCGGGAAATGAAAAAAATGAAAAAAATAATAATTAATAAAGAGATCGAACCATAAATATGTGTTTTGTAGATTTTGTGGAAGAGAAGGATAGACTGAACCAATTTCATCCTTCAGTAAATAAAACCATGAAAGCAAATATTCATATAAAAACCAGCTAAATGGGAGATTGGGTTATAACAGGACCATGTATTGGAAGCTTGTTGTCCTTGAAAGCTACACCATGACTAGTAACCACCTCAAAATCCACAGATTCACCAAATCCATCGTTATCCATAATCTGCCTTCTCAACTCAACACAACCACAGTAATCTACTAAGTACTTGGTTGCGTCTTTGAAGTATTTGTAAAGCATAGAACTTACACCTCCCCCTGTAATTTCCCAACCAACAAAAAAAGGGTCTCAAGATTGGAGAAATGTCGGTTTTTGAGTAGTTAATTACACTAAAAAGCATAATGTCTTACAATGGGTGACTAGTAACAAATTCTCTGAAGGATACTTCTCTGCAAGAATCTTCAGTGTATTAACATATCGTTCTTTAAAGTCTTCCACGGATTCTCCCCATTGTGGCAACTAGACACAACCAACATAGAATCGAGGAAAATATAGTCAAAGATATTAAGAGGAAGAAGATTAAGTGGGACCTTCTATAAGAATGTTGTAGAGAGAGATAGCACCTCTTTATAAGACATATCCACGTTATGATCAAATGTTCCCCCAGGAAACATAGCTTCAAAATTTGAAAACTTGAAATCAAACTTCTTATCTTTGGGAACAACCTCACTCTTGATAGCCACTGTGTTCAGTGTCTCGCACAATCCATATTCAACAGCTACCTGAAGCAACGTAGACAAATCATCCCAAATGCTTTAATAAAAATTAATTATCAACAGAGTTTTTGAAGTGTCAGCTTACAAAATTAGTAATACTTCATAATTCAACATATAGACGTACTTTGTGGATATGTATTAATTTTCATCTACCATTCATATACACATATTCAATATCTTACTACTAGGCTTTGACCAACATTAGTAAAAAGTAAAAGTATATACAATGATATATCACTAACATTTGTAAAAAGCTACTATGTCTACTATATTACACTATAAAGAATTATAGAGTGTTATTGTCTAACCTTGAACTTAGAGTTATCGATGGAAGGCATGTCTTTAGAAGACATAGCGTTGTGATCGAGATCAACGGCTGAGAGACCAGCGATGACTTCAGCAGCGGTCTGGATGCAGCGGAGGAATGGAGAAACAATGACACGGTGAATAGGAAACCCAACTTGAGATCGGATTCTTTGACCGGTTTGAAAGGCTCGAACCTTACCGTCGTGAACGAGCGGAGGATCCCACGGTCTCTCAGCGGTTGAAACCCAGAGTGGCTGGCAATGGTCGAGTCTATCACCGTGGCGCATCACGATGACATTTTGATGGCCATTCATGTTTGATTTAGCAATCTCCATTTCTATTTTTCTGTGTGGTCTTTGCCAGTACAATGGAAGAGGTATTTAATTATTTATACATGCAACGGTCATTTGTTTTTTTTTTTTGTTTTTTTCGGTGTAAAAGTTTCTAGGGAAGTGATGTCTTTTTGTGGAATATTATTCCACAACGGGAACTTGCGAGGAAGATCATCATTACACAAAAGGTGGAGTATTAAATTATGTTTCTACATGGCTCATTGAAATTACTAAGAAGCTTACATACGAGTCCAGCATTAATAGAAACCACCAAGGATTTATCGGTTAAATATGTAAAATAAAAATCGTTAACTGACGCATTACACGCTTATAGCATTAACATGGAAAGAGTAGTACAATCTAATGGCACTTCAGAAGATACATAGGAATGTAGTCTCTTTTAAAGGAAACTGCGAGGAAGATCATTATAAGAAAGTTACAAAAGTTTTGTTTTACATGACCCTAAAATTACTACAAATTTTGTTCAATCCCTTGCTGTTCCCTTGACCTTTCACTCACTCTGATTAGCGCTACCCGGTCCACTCAAAGCTCGAAGACGTTTGTTCAACGGAAATTACGACGAAGCTTACATTTATACGATCAAATATTATCAGAAATTACGACGAAGCTTACACTTATACGATCAAATATTATCAGAAACCACCAAGCATGAACCGGCTAACTAAAAAAAATCACCAATTGAACTGCATCATAGCATTTCTACGCATTACAGCCTTTAAAACATTAGCAAAGAAAGAGTACTATAACCTACTAGCTAATGAGATTATTTCTAAAAAGTGTCATCATTTGAATATTTGATTCTAAATGTCGGCAGATTTAAAGGCACTTAGATACGTATGGTCACGGTTTTGGATGACCTATCTTTTTACCCTTACTAGTAGGCTCGGATTTCTCGGATTTGGGTTCTAATTTATATCACACTCTAGTTCTCATTCTAGTAAATTAGTAAGTAGATGACGAATTCGGATATAACACATTAGTTCTACATCGGTTTTGAATCATCATAGAACCCATAAAGTAACCATATATTGTTCGGATCCGCGTTATATCGAACTCATTCGGATATACCCGAAATAAAATCTTAAATTTATAAGAATAAAATAAGAAATATTTACTTAGTTTGGACATTCAAATTAGTTTCTTCGCATATTTGAGGTTATTCGTTCGGGTTCCGTTAATAACATTTCGGGTTTGGATATGTATTGTACGACCTTACAAGACCCATTCGAGTACTTTTTACATTTTAGACCGGATACGGATCAGATTTTTCGGTTCGAGTTCGGTTTGAATTTCGGTTTACGGATTTTATGCACAGCCCTACTTACTAGTATATAATACTATGTGATTTTTCCGTGCTCATGCACAGATATAAATAATTATAAAATTAAATATACTATAATAGTTTATTGCTATTTACTTTAATTTTAAATTAATTTATATTTTTTATGCATAATTTGTATTAATTATAATATATTACTTTAATTAGACATATGATTTTATAGAGAAATTATCTAGGATAGAGCTAAAAATCTTTTATCACAATTATAGACCTTAAAATTAAAATGACCAGAAGAGACTTAAATATTTTATTAAAAACTAAATATACATTTAAATCCCTAGGGTTAATTAATCTAGGCATTAGGGTTTAGAGTTAAGAGGTGGGGTTTAGGGTTTAGGGTTTAGGGTTTAAAGTTTAGGGTTTAAAGTTTAGGGTTTGGGTTTAGAGTTTAGGGTATAGAGTTGAGAATTGGAGTTTTGAGGAGAGGATTTTAAATTTTTAACAATATAAAAAATTTTAAAATGAAAAAAACTTAAAAATGCAGATTTGAGAGAATATTCCTTATATATATGTTATATCTAGTTGGTTTTGTTGTTTTTACAGTCGATTTAATTATCATTTGGGAATTGCATTTATTTCTCTGATTTCAACTATAACATTTTTTATTTTAGATATATATTTTAGTTTTGATTAATTTTTTTATATGCATTTTGGTTGATTGTTTTGTTAGATATGTAAATATATTTTAGGAAGAATATGTATAACCTAATTATATTATGCTTAGAAGGAAATAAAAATAAACTAAATTGTCTCATTCTAATTACATAAATTAGTATAAGCAAAAATATTTTGAAATCTCATGCATATATAAATTTTACAAAAGAACTAAATTGCAACAGATGGTTAATATTTTATTTTTATATGTTAATATGTTTTGAAATATATATTCTTATTGTAGTTAAACCTATGAGTTTAGATATAAGTTGGATTAGACGGGTCACTCATATTGTGAGTATATTGAGTTACATATATTCTTTCAAATTCAAACTGAAGCATGGTATTTTTATTAATTAAATCAAATCAAATTAATTTTATGTATCATTTAAATGTGCATGTATATTATAATATTATCAAACTATATATATTTTTAAGAGAAACCCACCAAAAGAACCTCCAGTTTTCAAAAAAGAAAAAAAAAATCTGAAGTTGAATTTGAGCAATTTAAATCTTCATTTTTTTTTAATATAGGCCAAATTAATCTCATATTTTTGTTGACTAGATCATTTAAGCTATTCCAAAGTCAACCGTTAATTAAAACATAAACGTCTTTAACTTTTAAACTATACAAATTTTAACTCTGTGTGGTTTGGTGCGTGGGTGGCGCTTGAGATCAGATTTAAACCCTGCGTAGAAAGGTGGTAGTGGTTCAAGCTTTGCTTATGTCCAGAGGCTGGGCCGATGTTGTTGCAAACTTCAGTAATCATATTCCCCGTTTGCAGTCGGTTGTTTTCCTTGGTGCGTTAAGTAGTTAGATATGTCTTGAGTTAGAACATCATCTTGTATTATGTATTGCTGCTGCCTTCTGTTTCTTAGTTGTTAGCTTTTCTCTTGGCCGGATCATCGTTCTTGGGCTCGCTCTGGTGATAGGTTAGTTGTTGTGGAGGGTTATGTTATGCGTGCTCTGATTTCCTTGGATTCAGAGTTGGTTTTAACGATTCGATCGTTAAGTCTTCTCTTGAGAGGAGTTGAGCATTCTTTGGTTTTCAGGTCCATGGGGCTGTGTCGTGAGTGTCTGCGTTTAAGAGTTTTCCCAAGTTGAGATTCAAGGTTTTGTCTTTGAGCCTTGCCCTTTGGAGAGTTTAGCTCCGATGAAATTTCAGGTATTTGATAATGTTGGAAATTGATGCTCGTTTGATCTTTGGCTGGTTTCTGACTATGTTGTCTCTGCTTTGGTTTCAAATAAGTTATCTTCCTGGTTGGTGTTTGCTCAAGGCGTATGGTTTTGGTGTCAGATTTAGTTGTTTGCCTAGTTTGGAAAAAGCTTTAGTGTTAATTGTTCTACTTGTGTTCGGTTGTGTGAACTTTAGTTTCCTGATTTTGGGTTTAGATTCCGGGGATTTCTTAATGTTCGGCATGCTATTGTATTATACTACTGAAAAATTCAGTCTCTCAGAGAATCCATGCATCTTAGGATGCATAGCAGTATTTGGACTGCTGAAAAAGGCTACAACTCTGACTTTTACAAAACATAAGTTGTCATGCATCTGTTTTGGTCTTAATATATATTTTTGGTTCTTTCTACAGTTTGAAGGATATATGTCATGAATCTTAATCTGCAAAAAACATGTACGAAGAGTTGGTCTTATCTTCTATTACGTCACATTGATGAGAAACTTCAAAAGTTGTTCATGTTTCTCTTCTCTTTTGTCTAAGTACTGTTCTTCTCAATGATTTTTAGGATTTTGAAATAAAGATTCCTTTTCAATACTCAAGACCCATTCTCTACTAAGACATAGAAGACAAATGAGAGACACAACACTTAACACACAAAGAAACAGAAGACAGATGAGAGACACAACACTTAACACATCACCATTGATAGCTTTAAAATTTCATAGAACAGCTTCTTGTTTTCTTTACATCATTACTTCTTCTCATATAACCAACAATCATTACAAAAAGCTATGACCACACTCCTTTCTCGCCATCACATGGCTTTGTAAATCATCTTCCATGCAGATATCACAAATCATCTTCTTCCACAAACAATATCTAGATTCTGAAAAAGAAGTATCTAAATTCACCCATGTATCTCTTGTTTCTCAGACCCAAAATTCTTCTTCGCACTCAAGAATCTGTCAACAGAGCCATGAACACAAACATAAATCAACTACAACCCTTTTTTTTTTTACAGCTTTAATCCACGTGAACTTTACTTGTCATTAGAGGAACTAAAAATTGTTGTCTTCATCGTACCCAGAACGCTTCTTTGCTCTGTGTTTTCGGTGGAAGGATGTCTTGTCGATTTGGAGATATGATGAAGATGATATTTTCTCCAACGATGGCTTCTTACACTTAATGGAGTTGAATCATAAATTAATTGTAGACTTTGAAGTGGTTTAAATGACTTAATTAACATAAATTTGAGATTAAATTAAATACATATAAACGCAGCGGTTTTGTAAGGCGATTGTTTTGGAGATTATTTTGGCGAAGTGCGACGAGGGTCTCCAAGCGATGGATCTGGCTATTCAGCCGGATCTGGCAGATTTTCTGGGGAATGTTGGGGTAAACAAGGTGGCTATGGAAGGTATTGAGAAGAAGGAGGATAAAAATTGTGTTGGAGATTTGAGAAAAAAGGTTACGAACTGGTATTGGTTACGGAAGATAAGAAAAGGTTGAGGAAATTTGATGTTGCAGTATCAAATAAGGAGGGTGTCCATACGGTAGAGATTCCTGATGAAATTCTAGCAAACTCTACTCCTCTGTGGGAGGATTTTGTAGTGGGGAAGTTTCTAGATCTAGCTCCTCATGTTGCGAAAGTTCACATGGTTCTAAACAAGATATGAAGATATTGGGATCTCTCGACAAAGGTGGAAGTCTATGAAGTGAATCCCACTACAATGAGGTTCAAGGTGTCAAATTCCTAGGCTAGAGATAAGATTTTCAGGCGTGATATGTGGAACATTGCGGTAACCCAATG